AGTCTGCAACTTCAACTTGATCGAAATTTCCCTTCCCTGGGCAGTAACCTATATAAGAAAATTGAAATTTCATAAATTTTAACTAGTAATCACTGTAAGATTTTCGAAATTTTAAGTAGGTTATGAAAGAAACTTGAAATAATAGATAAAACTTACTGGATTACAGGATTAGGACTTCAGGAGGACAAATTCAATCAATCCCAATTTGGCACCTTTGAATCTTCACTTTAACACAACAAATTTACTGCAATAGATAAACTATTTCAGCTTTAGAGTAGTAGAGGACTAGAGGTCGATTCAGAAAGAATGAACATAGGAGAAGGAGGGAAGCTAACGAGAGAAAGGGCGAGAGAAAGGCTGAAAGCTGAAGTGGACTTTCGACTGTGGACGAGAGCGAGAGAGGCAGAGCGCGATGACTTGTGGGCGATCGTCGAATCTTCGATCGATATAGCCAAGGGTGTAAACTGTAACGATCCTCTCCATTCGACGCCCGACACCTCGTGTTCTTCATCTTTGGCGTGTAACGTGTGTTTTAGATCGAAGAGACGAAGAAGAATTGAAGAGTCGATATGCGTCTGTGTTGTGTTGATGTGTTGATGACGCTAATTAGGTTGCCCGCCTCCTGCCCCTTATGTCTTATGTCTTCACATTTTACTGGACTAACCAAAGACCAATATACAATAACATTATAACAGACTTTAAATTGATGCCCCACTACACCTTGCTGCCCTGGGCCGTGGCCCAGCTCGCCTGGGCTTGGGCCGACACTGAATGGAATGTATTGCTTTCAATAGTTATATAAAAAACTGTCATTTAATAAAACATAAAATGCCATCTAATAAGAATTCGCCATGTAAATTGCATGTTTAATGTGTTACCAATAAAATTCGTTTCATTTTTTAATCACACATAAATGTGGTTGATTTAAAAAACTTATTCAGTGATTCTTATATACACTAAAGTCTTAATATTTTTATCGATTTGGCAAGAAAATCCTAAAGTTTATTTTTTTGACAGTAAAGTTCAAATTACCTGCAGTTATTTGACATTTTTACTTTTTTTTAGCTGGTAATTAGGATTTTTTTTGTCAAAAAAATAAAGTTTAGGACTTTCTTGTCAAATCGACAATTAGAATTTTACTGTAAAAAAAATAAAGTTTAAGACATTCTTGTCAAATCATTGAAAATATTGAGACTTTAGTGTATTTCCGTAACCCAAAAACTTTTAATTGTGACTTTTGTTGCAGTACCGCTATTTTTCTTACCATCATCATTTTTACCCTGACACAATTACGATCAGAAGAAACATATGCAAAAGAGAGGGCGAGAAAAAGTGAAAAGACTTAGTAAAACTTTCTTATTGCTTCACAACCAAATCTTAAACTAAAAAGTAGGGACAAATTATACAAACACAAACAACACATATCTAGTAAAAAAGGTGTGAATTTAGAGAAGGGAAAGAAGGGCAATTTCTTTTTTTTTTTCGGTTTCTTATTTCTCCATTTTTGAGACTGTAGAAAGCCAACACAACCCTGGTTCTATCTTTATTTTTTTCTTGATTATCTCCATTTTTTCAATGTCGGTTTGTTGAAATTAAAAAAACGATTTAACAAAAGTAAATGTTAAGGATTTCAAAAGGATCTAGCTAACTATAGAAGGTTTCAATGACTCTTATGCTTAAAGAGTGTCATATCATTAAATTTCTAACAAAAAAGGGATATATACACTAAAGTCCTAATGTTTTCAACGATTTGACAAGAATGTTCTAAACTTTATTTTTTTGACAATAAAATCCTAATTGACGATTTGACAAGAAAATTCTAAACTTTATTTTATTGACAGAAAAGTCCTAATTATCAGCTAACCGGAAAAAAAATTGTAAAAATGTCAAAAACTACAAATAATTTGGACTTTACTATAAAAAAATAAAGTTTAGGATATTCTTGTCAAATCGATGAAAATATTGGGACTTTAGTGTATATATCCCATGATATAACCCAAAACATTACACATAATATTATGATATATAGCGTTCCTTAAAATATATAACCTAATATATGTATTATTAAAAGTTAGTACTTTTAACATATTATCTTATTAATAGAAATATATATACATTTTATTTTTGTTTGATGGTTTATATATATATATATATATATATATATATATATATATATATATATATATATATATATATATATATATATATATATAAAGTTGTAACCAAGTGGTCAAACGGTGGGCCTACAGCAGCAGGCGAGTTGATGATTTTTGCCACTGCAGCAGCACCATAGGTAGAGAAATAAGAGAAGAATTATTGTAGGGTTGTTGATGGTTGGTTGCCATTGTCATGGTTGTCTGAGAATGGAGTGAAGGTTAATCAATGAGGGGGTGGTTCCCTTGTCCAGGCGTTGCATGACGGAGAAACCGGTGGAAAAGGTGACTTGGACACCCGTTTCGAGGAGGCGGTTGGCAAACCGCTGATTTGGGTTGATATGGCTTTGCCCTCCATAGAAAACAATAAGGATATTCCATTTTGAGGAGGCGGTTGGCGATAAATACTACTACTATTTCTGTTTAAATAGTAGTAGTATTCGGCCATGTGGCCTTACCCTCCATAGGTAACAATAAGGATGACCACTTGGTTACACCACTGTTTTCCCTTGGGCGGCGCGTGTTGCAAATGCCTACTGATGTGCACGAAAGTACCCACTAATTTTATAATTTATAACCTAACTAACTCAACTAACTAAAATGCACTAGGCAGTGTACCTAGTCAAATTATAGAATAGTTTGGTAAGTCGGGTGTCGATCACAGGGAACGATGTTGACTAATTAATTTATTTACTACTAAACTAACCTTTTTTTTTTTTTGGAAAGGGAACTTCCCTAACGAGGGTTTCCGGGCCAGCTTTCGCGCACCGACTAATCCCCCACTGCAAACATAAAGCTTTGCCTCATGCCCTGGAGTCACTGCAGGCGAACCTCCATGGCCACAAGGGCTGAGTGGTGCCAGGATTTGAACATGGGTCAATAGGTTATCCACCATATCTTCCACATGTCTTACCAAGTCACCACAACCCAAGTGGTTCTAAACTAACCTAATTATTAACAAAGGAAGGGGTTTTATCTAATTTTGCAAGTTTAGATGAACTTAATTCTTTAACAAAAACTCAATCAATAAACAAACACTTCTGTTAGTTCGAATCCGCTTTCACTCAATGGTTATACATTAGCTATAGCTATTACTGTTGGTTACCAATTAAAGAAGTATTATCAATTTAGTTCTAAATCTACTAATTATTAATCAATTCATGTAAATCTATGTATGGTCACACAATAGTTAACATATAATCAATTATTAAATAAGATTGGAGCCATGAAAGATTGATTAATCAAAACACAATTACAGTCATAATATGAGTTCTCTAACACAACTCAATTCAATGATTCAATTACTTATCTAAGATTGGTTTGATCTTAGCTCTAATAAACTAGTGTTCACTATATTATTAGGTATTCAGATTCATGCAGATCTGTGTTCACTAACTACACAGAACAAGAATTTACAGCAATCAAATAATTAATTAAAGCATGCTAGGTAAAATCAATCAACACAAGCATATCACCAACAAGTAAAGTCAAATCTAATGCATTAAAACCATGAGTTCCAGCTTCATCTAGCTAACATAAGCAGCTAGATTTAGCTGGACATCCTAACAGCTAAATAAACAAAAATTGTAATCAAAGACATGTTTAAGTGTACCAATCTATAAAACCAAATTATGAATTTCTTCTTCCTTGGTGTTAAAACCAGTTTCAAGATCTTATTTTCCTATGAAATTCGTCACCAGGAACCCTTCTAGGCCAGCCAAAAAGTCCCTCAATCGTAATGGGAAAGGGTATTTATAATATCCTTCAATTTCCCGTTCACGTCGTGAGAATTTGAGTCTCACGTCGTGAATTCGTGATCGGCAAGGATTCCTTCACCCGGATACTTGTCTTCTAGAATTCCATATTCACGTCGTGAATCTTACTTCCTCACGTTGTGAACTCAATTTTTTTTTGATTTTTTATTCTTCTTTTCTTCAAGCTCCCCAAAGTTCCAGGTCTTGTCACTTCTGGTCCCTTTCTTCGAAAATACTTCTATTTGGCTGCACATAACATTTTATCCTTATAAGTATCATAATTCTATGCAAATAACGAAAATATTTATAAAAATGTAGATCAATATTGCCTAAAATGTGTATAAATATGACAATATCACCCACAGTCTCAAATCCACTTTCTTTTGCTAGTCAGCCACCATCATGGATATATACTACTACTATTTTAATGAATACCATGGGTGATATCCAGTAACAAAAACAACGAGGCGTCTCCGATCAACTTACCTGAACTGCCACCACTAACCACTGGTGATTTGTCGTCGTTTATTTTGTCTTTAACTCCAAGGGAGCCCGTGTTTCTTCGAACGATTTTTGAAGATCATATACATGTCCTTAAAACAGCTCCAAGAATACTTGTCAACACTTTTAATGAATTAGAGGTTGAATCCATCATAGCAATCTAGAAACTTGATTTCCTTCTGATCGGACCACTTATCCCGTCGGAGTTCTTGGGTGGAAAAATCTCGTTCGGCAAAACCTTAGGCATGAATTTCTTAAAATAAACCTGAGGATAATTACATCAATTGGATGAACAAGAACCCAAAATTGTCTATTATCTATGTCTCATTTATAACAATAGCAATTTTCTCCGTATATCTACTGGAAAAGATTGGGAATGGGTTGTTGGGGAGTCGCCGACCATTTTTATGGGTGATAAGGGATAGTGAGCTAGCAGAATGATTAAGCATGATAAAGGAGTTAAAAAAAACAAGGGATGATAGTAGATTGGTGCTCTCAAATGGTGGTGCTAAGCCACCAAACAATTGGTTGTTTCATGATGCATGGTGGGTAGAATTCAACCCTGGAGACATTGGTGGCTGGTGTTCCTACGATGGTGTTTCCACGATGGTCTGACCAGGGTACTACTAACGCGAAGATGATGGAGGATGTTTGGAGAACCGGGGTTAGGGTGAGGAAGAGGGAGATAAATGGAGTGGTGGAAGAAAAGGAGATTGAGAGGTGTGTTGAATTGGTGATGAGAGATGAGGATATAAAAAGAAATCAGAGAAATGGAAGGAATTGCCAAGGGAAGCTCTCAGCGATGGCCGATCATCCGATGTCAACCTACGAGCTTTCTTGGATGACATTTGAATGTACTTTAAAAGGAAAATTATAGATTTATAGTTGTAGACGACTATATATAACGACACTTATATATTCGGTAAACGATACATTTATGCATTACAATTATGCGATCTACAAACAAATAATAGATTTACAAATATTTGTGTGTATGTGTATGATTTAAATAATTACATATATTTTATATATATGTATGTATGTATGTGTTGAGTGAATGTTTGTTTCCTTGTAAAATAAAATTATTTAGTTAAAATATAACAATAATATATATTATTAAAAATAATTAAATTATTTTTTACTCATTTTAAATAATATTTTTATGTGCCAAATTTAAAAATTGATATAAAAAGTTATCTTGAAGGGTTGGGTAAAAGACATCCCAGTTAAACAAAACCCAATAAATCCGAATAACAGGTAATTTTGGGTTTTGTTAGCATTAGACTATTAGGGATATAATTAGAGGCTACTAAAACCAATTTAACAGGTCCCGTTTGTTTACCATAAGGCCTTTAAAGTGGATCGTGCTTAAAAGGAAAACCGGTTACTTCTTTCGCTTTCCTGCCGCTCGATCATATCAGAACCATAAAGTACGAATCTCCTTCTTTTTACGTCTATTTTGGTCAATCTTTTTCTTTTTTGCAATAGCCCTAGATGCCTGATTTTTTTTTTCTGTTATGATATGCGTTTCCTTCAAATAGGCTTCATCATTGCCGTTTCTCCTTCCCTGTCTTCTTCTAAAGTTTGCAATTTGGATTAAAAAAAAAACAACTCAATTCACTAGCACGCTTGTTTATATCTGAAGAACTATAATCAAATAAATTTTACTTGATTTAAAGAATTCTAAATAGTACGTTTTTTTTTTTTAGTTCTGTAGATCATGTCCCTAAAGCTTAGGGATTTTCTTAATTGTATGAATTAGTGTCCTTTTTGTAGTATGTTTACGTTTTTATTTCATATGAACATATGCTCATTCTCGGTTTTTCATGGAAAGCCAACCATTGGGTTATCGATTTTGTTTATTTGGACGATTTTTTTTAATAGATTAGTAATTTGAGGCCCTAAAGTGATTCTTCTTAATAAATTGTGTATAAACCCTAATATTCATTCGTACAACTACTCCTTCCAATAAGTATTGAAAGTTTAACTTTTGAGTCTGCATGAACTATCTTTAAAACTTAATATTAAAATTAACAAAACGTACATGGCATAAAAATTAAGTCATTGTTTTGTAGAGCATAAGGAACAAAATGGGAAGGAGGGGAATTCGGTTCAAGAAAGACCATATAAGCGATCTGCCTCAAAGTATTATCGAAACCATACTCACAAAGATGCCATTAAGAGATGCTGTAAGAACAAGTATATTATCTTCTAAATGGAGATACAAATGGGCTACACTTACACACCTTGAGTTTGATGATAAATGTGTGTCTGGGACTCATAGTAAATCACATGCAAGGAGCAATCTTGTAAACTTTATCACACGTTTTCTTTTTCTTCACGATGGTCCAATTAATGGGTTCGCTTTATCTACCACTTATCTACGAAGCTCCCCCAATATAGATCAATGGCTGCTTTTCTTATCAAGAAAAGATGTTAAAGAATTGGTTCTTGAGTTTGGAAAGCGCAAGTTGTTTAGAGCACCTTCTTGTCTTTATTCTTGTCAAAAACTGGTTCGTTTGAAGATTGTTAATTGGGAGTTGGCGCCTCCGTTATCTTTTAAAGGGTTCCCTTTTTTGAAACACCTTATTCTTAAACACGTTAGTATTGCTCCATATGCTATTGAGAATCTTATCTCGGGTTGCATGTTTCTTGAGAGCTTGAACTTATGCTCTTATTATGCTTTAGAACTCAAAATTCGTGCTCCCAACTTAAAAGATTTAATCTTGGAAGGTAATTTTAAAGAATTATCTCTGGAGTATACTCCAAAGCTAGTTGCTATATGTGTCAACCTGCTATGAGCAATATAATTTCAAGTTGTAATTTTGACAAATTTCTTGGTGGGGCATTGTCACTTGAGAGGTTTATTGGGCGCGATTACTTTACGCTTGTAAGATGTTGATCTAAGTTTCATGTTATTTATATCTCCATTTGTTAATATTGTTAATTGGCTGATGAATTGCTTTTTTGTTTGTTATCCAGTATACGAGTATAGGTAACACCATCGGGAAAACACAAATGAAGTACCAACAACTAAAGGTTATTCAACTCTATGAAGTAAGCTTTGAGAACATTAAAGAAGTAACGGTGGTTGTTCGATTCATTTTAAATGCACCTAATCTTGAAGAACTTCATATTTCGGTGAGTTTCATCAACATGTATAGATTTCATCTTCAAATTCTTTTGTGGTCACATAGAAATGTGGTATAAAAGCTTGGTGAGTTATGTTGTGACAAAAATAACGAAAGTTTGAAGATACAAAATAGTTGGTCACAATATATTATTGACAATTGACCCTTTGAATTGCGGTATTCGACTAGAAATTTTTGTTTCCTTATGAAGTTTAGCTGATAATTTAAAGAATCTTTATCAATCTTGAAGATGAAAAGTAACCCATTTAACCTTAAACATCGATGTTGTTATGTTTTTTTATTAACCTTTTTTTGGAAAAATTTAGGGTTCATGGGAGTCATTATCAGCAACAGAAGCTCCAGATTTGGATTTCTGGGAGAAGGAATGCCCCTCTGACTCCACATTTGAAAGGCTTAAGATTGTAAAGATGACACACATGAATGGTTTTCGACACGAGATTGGATTGATAGGGTTTTTGCTTGGGAGTTCACCGGTTCTTAAGACTATGAGCATCACTCCGGGTGTGTACATGACTGAGGACAAATCAAGCTTTTTGATCGAGTTATTGAGGTTTAAACGAGCATCAACAGAAGCTGAAATCATATTTGTTAAAGACGAGGTGTAAATATTGCATATATATGAATTTCATGCATATTCTGAATTTCTGATGCAAACACGAGATCAATGACTAATTGGTATAGGTTTATAAACTTGGTGCTAATGGTATTAAGGTTATGGAGACAACAAATCAAATGCTACCCAAAGGACTATTTCGTTGGATGGAATTGAATCACAAAAGAATAGAATTGGTCACAGTAATAAAAATGAGACCTATATATTAAATGATGATGTTTGAATGGTATGTAGGAATGAAGTGCATGTTCATATGAATTCTTTTTATATTATATGTAAGAGAAATATCACCGTCGCACATTAAAGTTCGGTCTTTGGTTCAATTTAGTCACTAAAGTTTTCTTTCCGTGCAATAGGCCATTAAACTATAATTTATCTCTTTATAAATCACTTTCTTTAGTTTTAACAGATCTTCGGTTAACCAGTTTTATGAAATTACACGAATGGTTCCTATGGTTTCAATTTCTTTTGTGAATGGTCCCTTACCAACACTCTTTATTATCGGCACCACTACCGATCACTTCCCGCAACCACCATTGTTCTCCTCCGACAAGTCTTAGTCTTTTGCGACGACATCGATGCCCCTCTTCTCGTTTCTTGCAGTCAACACCACCAAAATTTCATTAGCCAATTGCCGATGTGTCAACATATTTCTAAACCAATGCCTTTGTTTCCACCGGTTAGTAACAACAGCAATCCAAAAAACAGCTGACGATGATTGAGCAAATTAAAAAACAAAATTATCATAATTGAAGTTTCTTATTGTCGAAACATGATAAATATAAATACCTTTTGGTGCCATTTTCTAAAATCCAATCTATGTTTGCAGTTTCCAGTTAAATGTTGAATGTTTATTTGAGAGGGTATTACCTATTACCACAACTTAGAGCCTCCACCAATAGAACACCTTCTTCTCCTTCTCTTATTCTTTAAGCCAACAATTGCTCCAAAAAGGCCAATAATCACCAAGGGAATTAGGGTTAGGATTTTTCTGAGGTAAAAGGGTGATGAGGGCTGAAAATAAAGTCAAAAATTGATTTAGAGGAGATTAAATACGAAAGAAACCCTAAAAGATTATAGGATTGGGTTGCTGCAGGCTTCACGTCATGACACCGTAGGTCTCACGTCGTGAGGACGGTTCCGAAACGTGCTTCTCATATGGGTTTGTCATTTCGTGACCACCCTATGATCATCTCGTGATATTCGATTTTCTCCAAAAATCAAGCTTTTGACTCCTTAAAACCCTAAATCGATCCATCCTGAAAAACGGGTGTTACAAGCTTTTTCACCACCATGTTCTGATTGATTCTTAGTAGTATAATACAAGAAAATGCATCAACGTTACAAATAATCACATATAGATCAAATATATAAAACTAGAAAAGTGTGAAATTAAGTTCAACAGGGTAAACATCATAAACCTTTTAGAAAATACCAAAAAAATATTTCATCCAATTTTAACTCTACACTTTCACATGCATAAATGAACAAAAAACCACATGAAAAGTTTAAACTCATTTTCATGTTCCACATTTCTATACGTACTTTCTTCAGCGTTTCTTCAAAGTTCTTTTTTTTTTTTTATTTTTTTTTATTTTAATCTATAAAGGCATCCACAATGCATTGAACTTTATAGAGTTCAATGTAGTGCCACATCATCATCCATTATTTCATACAATTCTATTCATTTTTATCTCACAATGCATTAAACTCTACAAATTGAATGAAACATATTAAAAATTATTAATTTAAAGATTTAAATACTTTAATTTTTCCCATTGAAGAGTTCAATGACCATTGAACTCCAAAACCATTGAATGCCAAGGTAGCATTTCACAATGGTGGAGTTGTATCCATTAAATAACAAATAGGAATGACATCTCATTCAACTCTTCCATTAAACTTCCTATTGTAGATGCTCTAAGCAAACTTGGAATCATATCGTGTGCAATGGAGGGTCTATCTATCCAATAAACAAACACTTACCACTAAATCGAACGTAAGCCTAGAATCTCCTTTCCAAGTTTGAGGTCCGTCGAAGATGTAATTAACCCTCACTGTTGGACTTCTACATGACACAAGTCACGATTGGAGATGAAGAGTTCGACGTCAGCTTCTTTCAAAAACAAGGAGAAGAAACGTTTTTCAATTTACACGTTAGCATTATGTTGATATAATGATAGAGAATGTAAAAAGACGATATTACCCTCACATCAAGTATACGTGGTAAGACTTAACAGACCGGATCAAAGAGTGTGAGCCAAAAGGATGAAGTATGCAACTTTCCCAAACCATAAAAACAAAAAGTATAAAGAAATGTAATTTTGTCTAGAAATTATATAATAACTATTCGTATAGCTCGATTTGCTTAACCAGACCTAAACTGGTCATACCTGGAAATGGTTCATGATTTTATTCATGTTAAAGAACTCATTTCGATACGAACAACAAAAAATTATACAACATTTCTCTTACAAGATCAACACTCGGAACAAACCCAAAAAAAAAAAAAAAAAATTCACTCAAAAACGATAGTTATGACTTATGAACTATATTTCGGCACCTGTACAAAGAAGTCCAATTTATTCACCATCTCTACAATCGGGAGGTCCGCATCACCGGGGCCCTGAAAGCTCCATTGCCTGTCCAAGCAACGAAAAGTCGTCTGTAAGATCAGAATACCGCTCCGACGACAAGAACTCATTCGGCCGCCCTCTATTCGATTCAACTCTCTTCGCCGCCTCCCATTTCTCCGCCAATCCATCGCCTTCAAGCATCCTCGCCACCTCCGACATCTTCGGCCGTTGGTTCGGTTGATACTGTGTACACAACAACGCCACCTGAACCATCTCTTCAAGCTCTATTCTATCGTAGTCGCTTTTCAGATCCTTATCCACCAACAAATCGAGCTTATTCTCGTGATGGATTTTCTTAACCCAATCGAGCATAACCCCTTTTTGATTTGCCGATTTCCCAAATTCCAAAGCTCTTTCGCCTGTTATTAGTTCTAGTAAGAGAATCCCGAACCCAAAAACATCGGTTTTTTCCGACGATTGGCCGGTTGAGAGGTACTCCGGAGCTATATGGCCTACTGTTCCTCGAACGGCGGTTGTAACGTGGGAATCATGGTGGTCTAAAAGCTTTGCTAGACCAAAATCACCCACCACTGCTTCACAGTAATCATCTAACAATATATTTGCAGCCTTCACATCTCTATGGATTATCTTCGGATCACATTGCTCGTGTAAATAGAGTAAACCTCTTGCTGCCCCCAACGCTATTCTCTTTCTTGTTCCCCAATCTAGAGCCGGTTTGACTGTAACAAGAGACAATTGCGATTGATTAGAGGTCCAAAAATGGACTGGGCCGGTTTGGAACCGGTCCAAATTAGTCTGTTTAAACTCCTAAGAAGAGTTTAAACAGATAAGTATTTTTTGATCGTTAACAGTTTAAACCGTTAACAATCAGTTTGAACAGACAAGTATTTTTTTAATCGAAATGAAAAAAAAAATGCACCTTTGAGACGAGAAGCGACACTCCCGTTTGACATGTAGGGGTAAACAAGGAGGCGTTCGGATGATGTCATGCAAAAACCGTAGAGTCTAAGTAGGTTTCGATGAACGGCTAGGCTAATCATCTCGACTTCGGTTTGGAACTGGATCTCACCACCAACTGTGTTCCCATCTCTAAGCCGCTTAACGGCGACAACGGTTCCATCTGAGAGAACACCTTTGTATACAATTCCAAAACCGCCCTTTCCTAGTATGTTCTTGCTCGTGAAGTTTTTCGTGGCAACTTGAAGTTCTCGAAATTGGAATCTCCTTAAATTCCCCAAACATATTTCATCTCGATATTGTTCTGAAAACAAAAATAAAGTTTATCATGCGTTTGTCATTAATCGTCGTTATTGCTAAAAGTTATTCATCCATAAACTCATGCACATTACTGTGAGATGTAAATAGGTACAATTAGGTACATAGTGACCATGACAATAACCATGACCAGTTAGTTAGATGATATAAGTACAATGTACACAAGGAGTTCAGTCCATATTGGAACTTAAACTCCCACACTACGAGTGAGATGTAAATCAGGTACATTGATCAGTTAGTTGGATGACAAAAGCATACATAAGGAGTTCAATCCACATTGGAACTTAAACTCCCACACTACAACTATTACAACTATTGAGACTCGAACCGTTGACATTTTCTACAATTATACCATTCTAACACATAATTAGAAGTTTTTATTAATGCTAACCGTTGATATCAAAGAAAACTTGTTGGTTGTGTCGTCTCCTCCACCAAAAAACAAATCCAAACCCGAAAAACAGCAAGCAAAAGCACCCGAGGCTTGTCCCGAACGCTAAAGCCATCTTGTGAGATTTTGGCATCACGGATGGGTTCGACTCTACGTGTTACAAAAAAATGTGAAAAATATGATGTAAGATAATTTCTTCATATATACTACAATGTTTTTTATATGGTATATAAGTACAAACAATTTCTTTTGATGAAAGGGATGAAGTATTACTTTCTTGAGAATTGAAGGGGAGTGACGTTGACATGGGTGATGTTCCATTGCAATCTTGCTCTGTCCCCGTCGCACATATAATTGGATTTCCCATAACACTGTTTATATTAACGATTAGTTATAATGTTGAAACGTAAAAGGTTGACTTTTGAGGTCAAATATATGCTTTTTCATGTTTGTTAACTAATGTGCTCATCAAGTTTGGTATGAATACAATACAAATTTAATATGAAAACTTTGAATCCGAAAATTAAAATAGACATGTAACTTACTTGAATGTTTTAGCTTGAAACTTTGGCACAGGACCACTTACATTATTAAAGGATAAGTCCCTGTAAAAGAAAGGGCATTTAAGTAAATTCAAACCAAAAGAAAAAGATTGTTCAGTCAAAAGATTAAAGTGTAAAGTTGTTTTTATTAAAGTGATTACAAGAATGTGAGCTGTGTCAAGTTAGCCAAAGCCTGTGGAATTTGTCCTGTGAGACTATTGTTATTTAGCCGCCTGTTGCAATTCAAACCCCAAATTAAAGTTCAATAAAATAAAATCATTACATTTGATTATCAAAAAAGAGAAGGGTAAATAGGTAATTTCACTACTTACAAATACTGGAGGGTCTTGATATCAGCTAAAGAAGATGGGATTTCACCATTGAACATGTT